GAGGGGAGAGAGCTGCACTCCGCACCTGCTGGTCTTCAGTTCTCTCAATGAAATTTAAATTGAATTTTACAACTCTCTTTTACCCTTTTTAGTATTAACTTAATCGTTGACATTTCACTTTCCCTGTACGAATCACTGGTGTGGTTTCTGACGGGACCCTGACTGATACAACCTTTTTTAGTTTCTGTGGTTGGAGGCAGGGCGTTGTCTCCTGTTACTAAATCTCACAAGGGCCATTCCCTCCCATAAAGGAGGACGGGGTTGGACATTCAAAAAATGAGACCTGCCTAATAGATCTGCACGTGCCGTAACCTTGTGTTGTCCTCGGTGCCGGGCTTTCTGTGCCTCTGCACATGCCGTTGCCTCTTCCGGGGTCTCCCAGTAGGCACCGCACCCCCAACTGCTCTTCCTTCTACAGCCCAGCTCAAAAACAGGCTTCCCGTGGCCCCTCCCTCTCCCCAAGCCTCCGTCCTTTGCTTCTGCTGCACTTGTGCCATACAACAACGTCCTTGCCTTGCTGTGCTTGCATCTCTGATCCCCGAGTGCAGACAGCCTGTTCCCCTTGTCTCCTGAGCACATGGTGGGTGCTCAGTGTATATTTGTTTTGCTTTGCTTTTATTTATTTATTATTTTAAATAGAGACGAGGTCTCACTGTGTTGCTCAGGCTGGCTTCGAACTCCTGAGCTCAAGCAATCCTTCTGCCTAGGCCTCCCAAAGTGATGGGGTGACGAGCGTGAGCCACGAAGCCCGGCCAGGGTCTGCTTGTTGTATGGCCTAATTAAGTGCCTTTGGAGTGCACTGGGAGAGGCTTCATTTCCCTTGGAGCATTCGCTGATTAATTACCCATCAGAAAATTCTTTTGTGTAACCTACTGGGTTAGTCTCGTTGATCGACAGCCCAACTTAGTTCGTTTTCATTTTTAGGAGAAGACCCTTTCTCTACCAAGTTGTTGAAGATAACATGATACTGTGTCAGAGAGAATTTGTTCCCTCAGCAGTGTGGGGTCCTGGGAGGTTTCAAGGGTGTGGGGCAGAGAGGGGGTTATGGGTTGAATTGTGAGCAGACACCCTAACCCCTGGTGTCTCAGAATGTGACATTATTTGGAAACCGGGTTGATGCCAATGCAATTAGTTAAGATAAGGGTATACTGGAGTAGGGTGGGCCCCTGATCCATTTGACACAGACATACATAGCAGGGGAACACCACGCAAGGCTGCCACCAACCAGAACACCAGCAGCTGGAGATTCCCTCTGGCCTGGCACAGATCCCTCCTTCCCTAGGGCCCTCAGAGGGAGCACGGCCCACCAACGCCTTGATTGTGGACTTCTAGCTTCTAGAACTTGAGACAGGAAGCCACTCAGTGTGGGTGGTATTTTGTTATAGCAGCCTCAGCAAACTAATAGAGAGGCTGGGACCTGGATTTTCCAGTTCCTGGCCAGCTGGCTGGCTACTTCCATTACCTCCTCCACAGTGCATGAAGTGCTGTTACTCACTTTTCCTCCTGAAAATAGCCTGAGTATTCATTCTCTCCAGCTTTGATAATAGCCTACACCAGGCAGCAGTTACAACACAAGCTGGAAATCCTATTTTTGCCTGAAATCTCCTGGCTTTTAAAGGTTGGCAACAAAATATTTTTTAAAACAGATGCTGACCAAAGAAAATGCCCCTGTGAGGCCGCCTGCTTACGACCACTGCCTTCGTGGAATAATGTGAGCTGTGTGAAGGGAGGAGGATCAGGGAGAGGAACTGACTGCCGGTAACAAGAGCCAGCGTTTACTGAGCACCATTCTGAGTGCCTTACCTATGGTATCTTGTTTAATCCCTATGATACCCTGGGAGGTCTGTTCTGTGATGGTCCTCATATTACAGAGGAGGAAACTGAGTCACAGAAGGCTCATTCCCTTACCCAAGGTCACACAGCTAAGTGGTGGTACCAAGACCCAAACCCAGGGCTGATGCCGGGGCACATGCACCTCCTTCCAGTTGCGTGTGGAGAGGGCATGGGGCTGTGGGTGGGGAAGCCTTGGGGCTGGGGCTGAGAGACAGTCGCAGGCTAGGGATGACTTGTGTGTTGCTCAGATCACTTGGGAGCTCCTGTCTTTGATGTGTGGTAAGGACAGGGCTTTCTGTGTACCCCGAGCATAGGTGTGGAACTACCTAGGCACTCAGACTTTGTGGTTATGCAAAGGGATGCTACCACAGTAGTCATTTATGGCTCATTACCGTACAGCAAAGGAACTGTTGTGTTAGCCAGTGACAGCATTTGCCAGCAAGGTGTGACTGTCAGGCCAAGGAAGTGATGCGTAGTGTCCTGCCTCTGACAGCCTGACTCTTGGTCCCAGCTCAGCTGCACGGGTGATGGTTTGGGGGTGAGGACAGAGCATTAAATGGAGGTTGGTGATAGACAGTGGGAGAGCATCAGGGAGAAGGGCCATGAAGGTGGCATGTGGGTGTCACCGTTCACAGTGAATGGCTAATTGCTAGAGGAATGGTTCTCTCCCCTCCCCTCTCATCTCTGACAGGGTCTCACTCTGTAGCCCAGGCCCGAATGCGGTGGTGTGAACACAGCTCACTGCAGCCTTCACCTCCTGGGCTCAGGTGATCCTCCTCAGCCTCCCAGGCAGCTGGGAGTACAGGCGCCCACCACCATGCTAATTTTTTGTATTTTTACACTTGATCTTGGCCAAAAGGGTGAGAAGTGATTACTTTTTTGTACTTTTAGCAGAGTCGGGATTTCACCATATGGGCCAGCCTGGTCTCAAACTCCTGATCTCAAGTGATCTGCCTGCCTCAGCCTCCCAAAGTGCTGGGATTCCAGGTGATAGTCACTGCACCTGGCCTGGGTTTTTTTTTTTTTTTTTTTTTTTGAGACAGAGTCTCACTGTGTGACCCAGGCTGGAGTGCAGTGGTGTGATCTCAGCTCACTGCAACCTCCCCATCTCCTGGGCTCAAGACATTCTTGTGCCTCAGCCTCCCGAGTAGTTGGGATCACAGGTGCGTGCCATTATACCCAGCTGATTTTTGTATTTTTAGTAGAGGCAGGATTTTGTTATGTGGCCCAGACTGGTCTCTCACTCCTGGCCTCAAGTGATCTGCCCACCTTGGCCTCCCAAAGTGCTGGGATTTCAGGCATGAGCCACCATACCTGGCAAGGCCTGGGGTTTTCTATACTGTCTTGGTTGAGGCTGGAGTTCAGGTCATTCTGGGAAGTTTGCAGGTGTTCTGGGATTGTAAAAAATCATCCCGTGGGGGCTGCCCAGCTGAAGTCTCCTATTTCTAGAAACAACTGCTCTGGGATCAGCTGGGAGCCATTTACAAGACGTAATCCCACCTGCTTTTACTGCACTGGATTGGACCAAGCATGGGCTCCTGATTTAATCAGGGCCAGCTGTGGAGGCCACGGGTTTTTTTTTTTTTCTTTTTTTTCTTAGAGAGATTGAGAGACAAAGCTCTGTGACTTCAGCTGTGTAGAAAACGTCTCCAGGACAAGACCTGGCGCCTGCAGCCTCTCCACCCCAAACATTTCCAAGACCCATCCTCTCTTCTGTTCAGGTCAGTGTTCTCTCCAGATGACACATTTTCCCCTTTTGTTCAAGTTGGTAACTGTTACCATTGATCCCGAGTGTCCTACCCGCTTCCTGAGGGGAGCTGGCATGTGGGTCTTTTCAGGCTCTTGGTCAGGTCCTGGTTTGGGCGACTGGGTTTGGGCTGGTGTGGGTTTGGCATCTGGGTTTCCCTCTGCTTTGGCGGGGTGGACAAGGTGTGAGGAGGTCGGGTTGGAGAGAGCCTCTGGGGCCATGCAGGAAGCATGGGGGAATCCAGGCAGTGGGCCACATGTACTCTCCCCTCTCTCAGCCTCAGGAGGAGGCACTGTGTGCTGGGGTGGTGCCCAGAGGCTCCAATGCCAGGAGGAGGGGCTCGACCCCCCTCAGGCTGATGCATGATTTGTGTCAAGTCAGCAGTAGCTGGGTGGCCGGGACTGGCCTCCAGAGTTCCCTGGAGTGGGGGTGGGGGCGGGGGCAGGGACTGTGCAACAAGGTAGGAAAAGGGCAGTAGCACCTGGAGTGGCCTTGAGTCTTTGAGATGCCCTGGACTGGTGGTAGGGGTCATAAACATACTCATATTATCACCACAGTGATGTCACTTTGGTGTTGAGTAGGCTGGACTGTCAGTCTTTACCGCCACGTACTGGTGCGTGATCCTGGGTGAGTCCTTTAACCTCTCTGCATCCCAGCGTCCACGTCCTGGAGCCCTATGAGCTAGAGCTGGCACAGTGCTTATGAGGCCTGCCTGGTTCGTGTGCAGCCTCGGTAACCATAGGGAGCGTCATGAGGAGAAAGACCTGAGAAGCTGAAGGGGCTGTGCCTTTGCAGCCCGAGGAAGCGCAGACCTGACAAACCCTTCCTGGGAGCTGCCCAGACCTGAAGGAAGGGCCAAGCTGACAGTAATTGGAGTGACGCTTACTGAGTGGCTCCTACAAGCCAGACCCTGTTCTAGGGACTGTGCGTGCATTAACTAATTTAATACTCCCAACTCTGTGGTGATAGTTGCTATTTCTAGGCCTATTTCACAGAGGAGGAAACTGAGGTAGAAAGCTATTTGCCCGAGGTCTCACAGCCAACAAAAGACAGAGCTTTGAGCACAGTCGTTGTTCCAAGGCCGGTTCTAAAAGCCACATAAGAACTTCTGCAGAGCGAGTGACTGTGGGAGCAGGCAGGACAGGCATTGACATGTCACTGAAATGACAACTTGGGTCCGTGCTGTTGATCAGGGCTATGAAGCCTTTTCTGTGCTCAGCCAGAGATTCTGTCAGTGCCCCCTGCCAAAAACGTTTATTTCAAACCAAGGAGCTATGACAGGTCCCAAATTACAAACCCCCCAACCCTCATAGCATGTCAACAGGTTTTTGGGGTTTTTTCCCTGGAGCTCCCAAGGTCTCCACCTTCCCAAGACATTTGCCAGAAAAGCTCCGCCCTAAAACTAGGGTTGAGAGTGCAACTACTTCAGGCACTTGTTGTCCATCAGCGATATCTTGACGGCCTCTGTGAAGTTTTCCAGATCAGGGATCGTTACGTAATTCAGGAGCCTGTTCACTTTCCCTAGAAGGACCCGGATCTTCTGGGCCGTTGGGCCGGGTTCCGCCTCCAGGATGGCTGTCTTCTTCATTTCATTCAGCACCTCTGGGATCACAAACTGTGGGGATTCACAGAGGACTGTTGCGGATCCACGCTGCCTGGGTACCGTGCCCTCTCCCTCCCCAGGCCAGGCCTCCTGCGGCCAGGACCAAGTGTTCCCCGAGCCTTCACCCGAGAAAGCAGATCTGTGTTCCCAGCCCTGCCACCTGCCGCCTTCTTGCTGCTTCCAAATATACTCACTTGGCTGGAGTTGTGGTCACATGGACCATGGTCATGTGGGCCGAGGCCACACCCACACCCGGCCCTAAACTGGAGGGAAAGCAGCTCCAGTGCCCTGGCATGACATGTCCTCCAAAGGCCCTGCTCTCCTGGGGCAGCCGGGCTTCTCCCCATGGGGTCCTGACCATGGGACTGAGCTGGGGCCCTGGGAGGGCTGGGATGCCTCACAGTGGCTTCCTGCAAGTCCCGCCTCCACCTTCAGCTCCTTGGGAGTGTATCTGAGTTTTGTTGAGAGGAAGGCCTGGCCCAGGGAGGCCGCCTCTGTGCTAAGTTCTGCCTAGGTCTGCAGCCTGCAAAAGACCAAGGATGGAGTCTCCTGGAGGGGATCATACAGGGCGATACCCGTGTGCTCCAATCCTATGACTATGAAATGTCTTCACACAATATTGTGATTGTTTTAGCCACACAGTAACCTATGTCCATCTTATAGAAGACTGTGGGCTCAGACCACAGGCCAGTGTCACCCAGGAAGTGGAGAGGCGAGGCACAGAGGGGCCTGTTCTTCCTTGGGCATGCTGCTGCCCGCCTGGGCTGACCCTGCGCCAGGCTCTGTCTCTTTTCTTTGGCTCTGATTAGTTACATTGGTGCTGATTTGCTTCATCTGGGACACGCCCTGTACAGGCACAGCTGTCCCTCCCAGGGACGCCAGCCCTCCAAGGTGTTAGGCTCCCTGGTCTCTCTGTCCACTGCAGCCCTTCATGCACTCTTGCTGGGCACCACCTTCCTGTCCCCACCCTCCTCCCTCCACCATTCAAAGGCTGGTGCCCCGGGCCCTCATGTTGTCCAGCCCCAGCAGGTCCCGGCTGTGGCAGGAGTACGATGCTGGCATCTTCACTGGATTGGCTGCTCTGAGAAATCCAGGCTAGGCAAGGACGCTGGGATGCCATTATTCACCTGCAAAATAGGAGGCCTTGGCAGGCAAGGGAACCTAGTGGGGCCGGCAGGCCAGACCTGTTTGGAACTTTCCCAGTTTTAGCACTCAAAGTCCCATATCCCAGAAAACTCCTCCGTTCTGGGCAAACCAGGGTGGCTGGGCACCCTAAACCTAGCAGACTCCCTCTTCTCTTCTCAGATACTCTGTACACAGCTGCATCTGTTCTGCCACAGTCTGCTGTTACCAGCTTGCTGCTTCAGCTGCTTCACTCCCAGGGGCATGTCTGTCCATCTGTTTGCCCAGGCAGTCCTGCTCCCAGGGGCCTCTCTGGAGGGGGGTCTGTAAGTGGAGCCTTCCATGTGGATTGGGTTGGGGGAGCTGAGAAGGAACAGAACCTTGCTTAGGCCTCATTGGGAGAGCCAAAGACACCCTCATTCTGCTCCTTGAATCTGGTACTCAGGAAGGGTCTCAGGAACCTGCCTTCTTCCCCCCACCCCCCACAGTTGGAGCTCTGGGGGTCCAGCCTCAACATTTCAAGTAGATGGAACTGTGTCCCCCAAAAGCGATGCCTAAGTCCCAACCCCAGTGCTGGTGAACATGACCTTATTTGGAAACAGGGTCTCTGTGGATGTGATTAAGGCTCCCAGGATGAGCTCCTTCTGGATTTAGAGTGGGCCCTAGATTCAATGACTGGTGTCCTTTTAAGGAAAAGGAGAAGGAGGTTTGACACAGACACACAGGATAAGGCCACATCAAGGTGGAGGCAGACACTGGAGTGATGCCACCACAAGCCAAGAACACCAGGAGCCACCAGAGCTGGGAGAGCAAGGAGGTGTCCCCCAATGGAGACTCCAGAGGACGGTGGGTCCACGGACACCTTGATCTCAGACTCGCCACAGAGTCAGAGAGAATAACCTCCTGCTATTTCAGGCCTCCTAGTTTGTGCTGATTTGTTCTGGCAGCCCTAGAAAAAAAAGACATCATTGCTCCTCTCCTGCCTGCCTGGGCAGGTGCCTCGGATTTCCAGGGGACCATCTGTTTAGAGATGAGCGTGTCCTGGTGGGGGAGGAAGAGGACACAGCAGCAGGGCTGGGGACACAGATTCCCGCCCTTGTTTCTGGCCCTGACTTCTGACACGGCTGCTGTGTCAAGTGAGATAATGCATGTTGACAACTTCTATTGTCGGGATCATATGCTTGGCTCAAGTGACCCTCCTGCCTCAGCATCCCGAGTAGCCGGGGCTACAGGTGTGAGAGCCACCATGCCTAGTTAATTTTATTTATTTATTTACCTATTTATTTTTTGAGGCAGGGTCTTGCTCTGTCACCCAGGCTGGTGTGCACAGGTGTGATCTCAGCTCACTGCAACCTCTGTCTCCCAGGTTCAAACAATTCTCCCAACTCAGTTTCCTAAGTAGCTGGGATCAAAGGTGTGAGCCACTGGGCTCAGCTAATTTTTTTAATGTTTTCAGTAGAGATGAGGTTTCAACATGTTGGTCAGGCTGGTCTCAAACTCTTGGCCTTAAGTAATCTGCCTGCCTTGGCCTCCCACTGTCCTGGGGTTACAGGTGCAAGTCATTCTTCCCAGGCTAGCCTGAGTGTTTTGATGCGAATTTCCTCAGAGCCTCAGGCCACAGTGCTGAGAAGTTGCATGAATGCATTTGTATGTACTTAAACATCAGGCAAAGCAAAGTGGCCTTGTTTTTGTATGGGTTGGCATATATAGAACAAGCCTGGAGACCCATGGCATGGGCCAGTCCAAGCCAGCAGTGGCCTTTGTACAGGTGAGCACCCTACCTGGTGGAGGGTGTAGGGAGTTTTGCCCTTACCTTGTACCTGGTGCCCAGATTTAAACAAATCCGCTTCTGTTCATAGGTGAAACAGAAGATGATCTTATCCTGGCTCCGTATTTGTACCTGGATGTACTCATTGATTTTCATGGAGATGGGCCAGACAGGGGGTGCGTGGACATGGATGTTCAGGTTCCACCAGTTCCAGGCCTTCTGGTGTTTGTCTTTGGGGAAGTAGTAGCCCAGGTTGGAGCTCAGGTTCAACCTGGACCAAGAGAAAGCACGTCAGGCAGCCAGGGCGCTTGGCCTGGGCTGCTGCTCCTCCTCTCCTTCCCTTTCTTTCCCCCGACTTGGCCGCAGAAAGACTGACAGGGACTTGATGGGTAGGAGAAGCTCCAACATGGACAACCAACCCAGCACCAGGCGCTGCCCTCTGCGCTGGCCTCACCGTACGGCCCCGCCCCGCCCTCCTTCCCTCGCCTTTAGTTTCTGGCACATGCAGGCTCTTCCTGCTCACAGCTTTGCCATGCTGTGACCTCTGTTTGCAAAGGTCCCCTGCCTCACGTGACATGGCTGGCGCCTACTTGTAGGTCTCAGCTTAGATGTCACCTCTTTGGCCTGAGCAGCCCCCCATTCCCTACAGGACTCTCCGTTGCCATGCCTTGTTAGTTTCCGTCATGTAATTTAGGAATAGTTACGGTAAATTCTCGTTCACTGAGTTAGGTTCTAGAAAGCCAGTGATTTAGCAAATATTGAACCAACCCATAGCTCCTAGGGAAAATACACACACACACACACACACATGCACACACACGCACACACACATCTCACATAGGTTATCATCTTAAATCCTGAAAGCAGCCCATCCTGCTAGATACTGCTTTTCTATTTATTTTGTTTTTTGAGATGGAGTCTCACTCTGTCGCCCAGGCTGGAGTGCATTAGCATGTAATCTCGGCTCACTGTAACCTCCGTCATCCAGGTTCAAGCAATTCTCTGCCTGAGCCTCCTGAGTAGCTGGGATTACAGGTACCCACCACTACACACAGCTAATTTTTGTATTTTTTAGTAGAGACGGGGTTTCACCATCTTGGCCAGGCTGGTCTTGAACTCCTGACCTCGTGATCCACCCACCTTAGCCTCCCAAACTGCTGGGATTACAGGCATGAGCTACCACACCCAGCCCGAGATACTGCTTTAAAAAAAAAAAAAAATTCTGCCGGGCGTGGTGGCTCAAGCCTGTAATCCCAGCACTTTGGGAGGCTGAGGCAGGTGGATCACGAGGTCAAGAGATCGAGACCATCCTGGTCAACATAGTGAAACCCCGTCTCTACTAAAAATACAAAAAATTAGCTGGGCATGGTGGCACGTGCCTGTAATCCCAGCTACTCAGGAGGCTGAGGCAGGAGAATTGCCTGAACCCAGGAGGTGGAGGTGGCGGTGAGCCGAGATTGCGCCATTGCACTCCAGCCTGGGTAACAAGAGTGAAACTCCGTCTCAAAAAAAAAAAATTCTATTTTACAAAAAAGAATAGGAGGCTTAGAAGTGTCATGTGACTTTCCCGAGGATATCCCAGTAATGGTGGGATGCCGGAGCTGGGATTCAAACCCTGTCCCACCAGCCCCAGAGCTGCAACTTCTTGCACTACACTGTCCTGCCCCCCATACCTCTGTCCTCTGTTTGTCTCTGCAGGAGAGCTGAGCAGGAAGGCAGAGCCTGGCCTTGTTCAATCTCAGCCGGCAGTGTGCACACTGGGAAACTCAAACTTCCCCCTGCTCTGGGCACGCTGTTCCACATGAGTGACATATATATATATATATGTGTGTATATATGTATGTATTTCCCCTAGGAGCAAGGAGTTCCGTTCAGTGTCCTCAATGACTTTATAGACTATAACTAATACGAATCATGAGAACTAACTGTATTTGTCCATCATGTGTTCTCTCTCACTAAAACACAAACTTCTGAGGGCAGGGACCTTGTCTGTCTGCTGCCCTGCTGAATTCCTGCTGCCAGCCCTATGCGGCACCCACATCCATAGGTACAAGGGAATGGAGGGTGGATGGGTTCCTCTCTCATTCATTCCAGATCCTACTCTCTTGGGCTTGCCTGCCTTCTGAGCCATCCTCTCTTGACGTTTCAAACCCACCGTATCCCTCTGGCCCTGGCTTCTGCTTTTCCAATCCCAACAGGGCACGTCCTAGAATTGGTGCCCTTGGGGAAGCAGCATCTTCGGGGAATGACATGAGGAAAGGAAGCGATGCTGAGGCCTGGGTTAGTCTGGAGAAGGAGGGCTTGGGGAACTTGGGTTATTCAATCTGCCAGGCCTTGTTTGGGCTGTCCAGGGCGTGGCGATGTACTATACTTTATCTAGAAATACCTATTCACTCTAAGTTTTGCCTTTCTTTGAAAACAACCCTTGATGTTGTTGCATACATGATAGGCTTTGACGCCCATAGCTGGGCTACACATTCCTTCCAGAGCATGTGTACTTTTTTCCCCAAGATGCAGGGCCTGGGTCCGGGAGGTTTTGATGTGGAGATCTACCTGTCTTGCATCCACCCTGGACCGTAAGTCTGTCTGTAAATTCCCTGGGAAATTACCGTATACAGACAAACTGGATTTGTTTGCCTCGTTCTTTGGTTTCTCAGCTCCCTCTGCATTTGGGGGTCACTTTGTATCTGTGAACCTTTACAGAACAAGGGGCGTCACTGGAGTGAGAAGGTGGCTCCGAGGCCTGCTGCGGGCAGCCTTGCTCACCTCCGGGGGGAGCACTTCCCGTCACTCAATCCCAAGTCTTCCTGTGGCTTCCCACTGCCCGTTGAACAAAAGCAAACCTCTTAGTCCTTCCATCTTGAGGCCCCAGTCTCTTCAACCTCATTCCTCCTCTAAATCAGAGGCTGTGTACACAGTAGCGAATTAAAAACCTGGGCTCTTTGGTACCAAAATTATAAAAATAGCAAATGAACAGACAAAAACCTGGGCTCTGGAGCCAGGCTCTCAGTTCAAAGTCCGGCTGTGCCACTTGCAAACTGTGACCATGGGCCAGTCACCCCACCTCTCGATGTCTCTGTTTCCTAAACTGTAAAATGCAGATCATAACAGTGCTTTGTTCAGAGGGCTGTGTAGGGATTAAATGTCTATACACGGCAATAACTGAGAAAACATGAACATTTCCTTGTTATCATTGATGGAGAGGAGAGCAAAGAGAGGAATCCTCTTCACTTTGGGGAGCAGATCCTGCTAGCTTTTAACCTTTTAAATGGCTCCCATCAGAGTTCTCGGAGATGGGCAGGCTGCTTGGTTCCCAATTTTAAGGTGGTCTGGAAGAAAAGAATAAAAGCCCCTCTCTCAAGCTCTAGCTTAGCTAACTCTTAACCAGTCAGTAACAAAAGACCAAGAAGCTCCTATTTCGGGTGGCTATGGACTTCCCTGAAGCCCTTAGACTTAAACTCCAACTTACAGTTAGCCTTTCCTTATTTTCCTGCTGAAAAGCACACCTGGGTGGGAGATTTAAAGTGCTAATGCTACCTCAGGTGAAGGAAGGAGCATGTTGAGCCACGGTGGCAAGCACTAGAAAAACTGCCCCTATACATGCCCTGTCATAACCCTTCCCTATAGACAGACCCTAGAAAACCAACCCACACGTTACACTCAGGGAGTAGCCCATTCCTTTTCTTAGTGCTGGCTCCCTTGTGCACAAGCTGAAATAAACTTTCCTTGGCTGCTGTGTTTGGGGATCTCTCTTGATTTCTATCCTGGGAAACCCAAAGAACCTAGGATTCCAGTAGCAACACTAGGCCATTCCCCACTCCCTAGGAAATAGATAAGGCAAATTCTCATTGCTTAGGAATAGATATGGTAAATATGGGTGCCCAGCTCTGGGCTAAGTCTCCCTTAGGAAGATGGGGTCAGAAACATCTAGGAATGGTCAGAATTGGGAAGTTCCTGCTCAGGGGGTGAAAAGATCCTGACGTGTGGAATGAATAGAACCCACCCACTGAGGACCCTGGGTTTGGACAGGTCTCAACACTGTGTGGGATCCTGAACCCAGGTAGGAAGCCTGGCCTGAGACCCCTTGGGCTGGGAGTCAAAGGCAATGCTGAATTTTAGTTTCCACACACCTGGCAAAGGAGAGCCACGGCTTCCATATTCCCTGAGGAAATGAAAATCAAAAGTGACCTAAGAAGTATTCAGCTCTTGAAATAGTTTGGCTCCAAGACCCTCCCAGTGCCCGAGGTACCACGGAGAAGCCCTGTTGGTGCTGAGGAAATTCTAGCAGTTAGGGTCGGGGCCCTGGCCAAGTGGCTTTGTGTTGACAAATGACTCTGAGAGGCTTTGCCATAAAATCTAGTGTCGATGAAACTGGAGTTTTGCTGAAGAATTCCCTCAGAGACCAAGCTCTGTGGGTAACATTTTTCTCTGGAGCAGCTGCCCCTGGGGAAGGAATTGGTTTGGGTGGGGCAGCCTATTCACAGAGGCTGGCCCTGTGGTTTGACTTTTGCGGGATGACGGGTGCCGTGAACGGATACACAGGGACCATCTGTCTGTCATCCAGATGCTCACGTGCAGAGGTGCCGAGACGTGCCGGCAGGACTGAGGGGGGGGCCCTTCCCTTCCCGATGTTGGCTTGCTTGATGATCTGTACCAGATCCTCTCTGAGGTAATTAATGAGAGTTTCTTGCCCCGACTCCTTTGTGCTTTCTGTACCCAAGATTTTGGTCCACTTCTTAAAGAGCATTTTTTATATACAGGGCGTTCAGGGGAGGGCAGATACTTCCACGAACAAGACAATCAGGAAACGGTGTGTAAAAAGGCTCACAGTAGAGAAAGTATTGTTAAAAACCAAACTCTGCAGCTTGAAAATCCTTTTTTTTTTTTTTTGGAATTATGTTTGGCTTTGACTAGCAAGAAGAAAGTATAAAGTTGATCCAAGATAGTTTAAGTCCCTTTGGCTGGGCGTGGTGGCTCACGTCTGTAATCCCAGCACTTTGGGAGGCCAAGGCGGGTGGATCACCTGAGGTCAGGAGTTCGAGACCAGCCTGGCCAACATGGCAAAACCCCATCTCTACTAAAAATTCAAACATTAGCCTGGAGTGGCAGAGCATGGCTGTAATCCCAGCTACTCAGGAGGCTGGGGCAGGAGAATCGCATGAACCCAGGAGGCGGAGGGTGCAGTGAGCCGAGATCATGCCACTGCACTCCAGCCTGGGTGACAGAGCAGGATACCATCTCAAAAAAAAAAAAAAAAAGTATATATAAATCCCCACACCATGACCACTTAGAAGAGGAAGGGAAGGAGAAAATCCTGAAAAGAGAGTCCTTGCCTTAAAGAGATGGGGAAGCATTTTGAAGTGACTGAGCTGTCTTGAATTGGTAAGATGGTTTTCCACCATTACTGAAATGGGAGCTTAAGAACTAAGTTCAGTTATAGTGAAATATTTGGAAGTCACCTTTTGGACCAGGGACTCTATGCATGTGTTCAAACCCCCACCAAACCATCCTCTCCGAGGCACCCAGAACAGGGAGGCACTGGGTCTTCCTAAAGTAATTCTCCCAAGGGTGACTCTCAAAAGGTGCTTAGGAGATGCAACCCATAGAATGTGGTTGCTGTGGAGCCTTGACTGCTGTTTCACCCACAGGGGAGCAATGGTGACCTACTGTGCAGTCAGGGACCTGACAAACTGGTCCATCATGGTGCTCATTCTCCCATTTCCAACACGTGGAAGTCAGGCATGGAGAGAGGAAGTTCATCCAATCTGGGGCCTCAATTTTTCCAGCTGCTGCTCCATGGGCAGGAGTATTAGGGACTCATGATCCAAGCTTACCAGATGTCTCTATTTTCATCATAGAAGGTGGCATTGCCTGAGTTGTTGATAAGGGCCCGGATCCGCCCTTTTAGACTGTCTTCCAGAATGATGTATGTGAACTTTTTCTTTTTCACATGTAAGATGAGCATAGCCAGGTTTCCTGATGGATAACTGGGAGAATGTTAAGGCACAAGCAGTCAGTCCTTGTGATTCCCTAGAAAAGGAAGGGCCCTGCAGATGATCCAGGCCTCAGTCAAAACTCCCACCTCAGTAGTCAAACCCCACGCCCTGAATCACAGACATTTTAGGTGCCAATATATGTCAATACAAGCATTCCTGTGCTTCTGTGGATACTATATCTGGCCTGTCCCATCAGGAAACAAAATCTGATAGATATTCTCGTTGGGGTAGAGAATCAATTTTCCATCACCTTGATGCACCTGGGAAGAAAAGACAAGCCTATGAAAAGTGGGAAAAGTGCATGGGGACCAACTGTCCTACTGCAGAGCATGGTGTGGACCACATTGGCTTGCTCCCTGATGCCACATGCTACCTCACCAACTTTCTGGGGAGCTGTGGGGCTTTCGTTTACTTGTCTAGACAATGGGGAGGCTGAACTGGATCTGTGTGTGTGTTTAGGTTTTAAACTGCCATTTCAGTCACCCCAATGATTATTGATTGTATTAGTTTCCCAGGGATGCTGGAACAAAGTCTCACAAACTGGGCAGCTTAAAACTACAGAATTTTTTTTTTTTTTTTTTTTTTTAACGATGGGGTTTTACCATGTTGGTCAGGCTGGTCTTGAACTCCCGACCTCAGGTGATCCAAAACTACAGAAATTTAATCTCACTGTTGTGGAGGCTGGAAGTCTGAAATCAAAGGATCCCCAGGGTTGGTTCCTTTAAGAGGCTTTGGGGAAGAATCTCTTCCATGTTCTCCCTTAGTTTTTGATGATAGACAGAGATCTTTGACGTTCCTTGGCTTATAGATGCATCACCCCAACTCTGCCTCTATCTTCATGTAGTGCTCTCTGTAGCCTCACGTGGCAGACCTCTTAGGAGGCCACTATATTGCATTAGGGGCACACCTACTTCAAGGTGACCTCATCTTAGCTAATGATATCAGCAAAGACTATTTCCAGATAAGGTCACATCCTGAAGCACTGGGGGTTAGAACTCCAACGTCTCTCTTTCAAGGGAACACAATTCAACCCGTAAAATTGGTATACTCAAGATTTTTATTTCTTCTTTAATCAGTTTTTGCAAACTATTTTTCTAGAAAATTGTTCATTTTATGTAAACGATCAAATTTATTGTCATAACAATTTTAAATTGATACTGTTTTAAAGAAATCTCTACTGTCTCTGTCCCTGTCCTCATTTGCTGTATTATTTATACCTTCTTAATCAACCTTGTCAGAAAGTTTGTCTATTAGTCTTTTCAAAGAACCAAGGTTTTTTTTTTTTTTTTTTTTTGTGGTATGGTCTTATTAAATTTTCCTTATTTAATACCCTCCTTTTTCCAGTTTAGATTCTGGATTCTCCAAGACTGACTCTTCCTCTGAAATCCTAAATTCAACCTTCCTACACTCTGACATTTCTTATTCTTTTAACTTTCATTTTATTATTGCCACATCTATTATTTAACATTATAGAAACATGTTCTTCCACTTATTCTCCCTGTTTCTCACAATCAGTACTTTCAGTTATGTCATTTCCTTCGTGGCTCATGACTTCAACCACTCTCTTGCTAATGAATTTAACTTCCTTGCCTAGATGACCTGCTATCACATTTTTCTGGCAAAAACCCAGCCCAGGCTTGCTAGGCCAAGCAGCTTAGCACTACTCTAGCGAATCACACAATTGTACATATTGGTGCCACTACAAATCCATTTGTGATTTTCTTTTTTTTTTTTTTTTTTTTATAAAGAAGAGGAAGAAAGAGAAAGAGGAAGAGGGAGAGAGGATGGGGGTATTGCTTTATTGCCCAGGCTAGAATGCAGTCTAAATATGGGTATGCCTACAATTGTCCTCAATAATGGTGACATGAAAGAAAATGAGGGAAGAGAATAACAAACAAGGAGCCAACCAAGATTTCATTTAAACCTCTAAATTGATATGATGTGGTACTGATGAGAGTGTATATTTTGTATATTTAAAGTGGAGAGTTCTATAAATGTTAATTACATTTACTTGTTCCAGATCTGAGTTCAAGACCTGAATATCGTTGTTAATTTTCTGTCTCATTGATCTGTCTAATATTAATGTTGAAGTCTCCCACTATTATTATGTGGGAGTCTAAGTCTCTTTATAAGTCCTGTATGTCTGCGTATTCCTGTATTGGGTGCGTATATATTTAGGATCTTTAGCTCTTCTTGTTGTTGCATTGATCCTTTTATCATTATGTAATGTCCTTCTTTGCTTCTTTTGATCTTTGTTGCTTAATTGTAACTTCTATTTTTTATTTATTTATTTTAGCTCTCTGTTTGGTTGGTAAATCTTTCTCCATCCCTTGTTTAGAGTCTTTGTGTATCCTTGAATGTGAGATGGATCTGGATGCAGCATACTGATGGGTTTTAGTTTTTTATTCAAATTGCCTGTCTTTGGATTGGGGGATTTAGTCAATTTAAATTTGGAATTAATAATAATATATGTGAGTTTAATACTGTCATTAGCTGGCTATTTTGTCCATTAGTTGATATAAATTCTTCATTATATTGATGCTCTTTTTGATAATTTTTTTAGAAAGGCTGATACTGTTTGTTCCTTTCATATGTGTAGTGGTTCTTTCAGAAGCTCTTGCAAAGCAGGCCTGGTGGTGATGAAATCTCTGAGTGCTTGCTTATTCACAAAAAACTTTATTTTTCCTTCGCATGTGAAGCTTAGCTTGGCTGGATGTGATATTCTGGGTTGAAAGTTCTTTTCTTTAAGGATGTTGAATATTGGCCCCCACTCTCTTCTGGCTTGTAGGGTTTCCGCCGAGAGATCTGCTGTGATTCTGATAGGCTTCCCTTTGTGGGTAACCTGACCTTTCTCTCTGGCTGCCCTTAGTATTTTCTCCTTCATTTCAACCCTGGTGAATCTGACGATTATGTGCCTTGGAGTTGCTCTTCTTAAGGAATATCTCTGTGGTGTTCTCTGTATTACCTGGAGTTGAATATTATCCTGCCTTACTAGGCTGGGAAAATTCTCCTGAATAATGTCCTGAAGCGTATTTTCCAGCTTGGATTCATTCTCTTCGTCACATTCAGGTACACCTATCAAGCGTAGATTAGGTCTTTTCACATAGTCCCATATTTCTTGGAGACTTTGCTCGTTCCTTTTTATCCTTTTTTCTCTCGTCTTGTCTTCTTGTTTTATTTCAATGAGTTGATCTTCGACCTCTGATATCCTTTCTTCTGCTTGATCAATTCGGCTGTTAAAACTTGTGCATACTTCACGTAGTTCTCGTATTGTGTTTTTCAGCTCCATCAATTCACTTATTTTCCTCCCTAAATTTTGTATTCTTGTTGACATTTCGTCAAACCTTTTTTTCAAAGTTCTTAGTTTCTTTAGATTGTGTTATAACAAGTTCTTTTAATTCACTGAAGTTTCTTATTATCCACGTTTTGAAGCCTGCTTCTGTAATTGGAACCAACTCGTTCTCCATCAAGCCTTGTTTCGTTGCTGATGAGGAATTGGGATCCCCTGCTGAGGAAGAGGCGTTCTGATCTTGGGTATTCTCAGCCTTTTTTGACCGTTTTCTTCCCTTCGTTGTAGATTCATCCATCTGTAGTCTTTATAATCACCGTCTTTGTAATTGGGTTTCTGAGTGGACGTCCGACTTACTGATTCTCAGCGCCGAAATCTGAGCAACCCACTGCACCGACTAAATCAGCGGCGTTAAGATTGATGGTGCTTTTCCAACTCTGCACCGAGAACCGACGCTCCGAGGCGCCGGCAAAACCGCCTCGCCGGTCACAAGAGTCGCGCTGGCGACCCGTGGGGCTCCTCCGCTGGGAATCTCCTGGTGCGTAAGCAACAAGAATTCATGTGAAGGTGTGGCGTCCTCTCCTTCTTTGCGCTTTCAGTGGGAGCTACAATCCCGAGCTGCTAGTTATCAGCCATCTTGGATCTCTCTGTTTTTGTTTATTTCATTATTCCTTTGTTTTCTATTTTATCAATTTCTGCTCATATCATTATCATTTATATCCTCTGCTTTCCGTGGGTTTTCTGTTATTCTATTTTTCTAATTCCTTAAATTGAATACTGAACTCTTCTGCTTTTGTCTTTCTTCTTCTTTAAATCTTCCTTCTCCTCCTCCTTCACCTCCTCCTCCTCCTTAATTAGATAAAGCACTTTAAAAAAAGCCTCTGGCACCCAATATTCCCAGGCGGTCTTCCATCCAAGTAGTAACCAGGCTCAACTCTACTCAACTTCTAAGATTAGACAAGATTGAAACCATTCAGGGTGATATGGCTCTAGATTTTAACATGTGTGATTAAAGCTGTTATGATTTGAATATGTTCCCCCAAAAACATGTTGGAAATTTAATCCCCAATGCAACAGTGATGGGAGATGGGGGCCTAATGGGAGGTGTTGAGGTGATGGCACTGGGACCTCATGAATGGATTAATATCAATTATAAAAGACCCTGATGGCCCAGCATGGTGTCTCACATGTGTGATCCCAGCACTTTGGGAGGCCAAGGTGGGTGAGATCGAGATCATCCTGGCCAACATAATGAAACCTCATCTCTACTAAAAATACAAAAATTAGCTACGTGTGGTGACACATGCCTGTAGTCCTAGCTACTCGGGACGATGAGGCAGGAGAATTGCTTGAACCTGGAAGGCGGATGTTGCAGTCAGCTGAGATCATGCCACTGCAATCCAGCCTCGTGACAGAGCGAGACTCCGTCTCAAAAACAGACAAACAAAAAACAACAACAACGAAAACCCCCCACCAAAATAATAAGATAAAAGGGCTTGAGGCTACGAGTCTGATCTCTCGCTCTTGTTCTCTCTCCCACCCTCGTTTTGCTTTTCCACCGTGGGATGATAAAACAACCCCCTTGCCACATGTGACCCCTCCATCTTGGACTCTCCAGCCTTCAGAACAATAAATTTCTGTTCACTGTAAACTACCCAGTCTGTGGCACCTGTTATAACAGCATGAAACAGACTCAGAAAAAAGCGGTAACATTCCCCTCAATTTACTGTTTTAGCTGTTTCCCTTAAGTGTATTTACCTTTCATTTTACTCCATTCTAAATATTTTCAAATTTGACACATAAGTTATTTATAAGGATATTCTTAAATTTGCCAATGTATAAAGCACTTTTGGTTATGTTATTACTATTCTTGATTAAAAGTCACTGGGGCAAGGAAACATAGGCTGTACAGAATCAATTCTTTTGTGTTTGAAGAGATTTGTTTTGTGACCTAGCATGTGATCAGTTATA